TAGGGTTTAGGGTTTAGGGCGGGTAAAAATTCGACCTGGGTCTCCCCCATATGGGTTTACGATGTATGCTTAACCCAGGTAAACCTTAGGTCAACTTACCTCTGAAATACGATGGCCCTATAACGAAACCCTAAAGTTTATGGTAATCTTTAAGTTGAACCTAGAGGGTCCGAGTACCCAAATAGTAAGGTTTAAGGTCCCAAAATCCATACTCTGAATGGTTTTCGGACCTTGAAACCCTACTATTTGGGTACTTGGACCCTTAGGGGAAGATAGTAACCCCTGAACGCACATGAAAGAAGCCTAGAACGAATCCTCGCGCGTGGGCTGAGGCCCGGACAGAGGACCGTGAGCTCCAGGGGAAATTCCGTTCCTTCCGTGAGGTACCTGCGGTTTACAGTTCAAGACCCTAAACCGTAAAACCCTAAAACCCTAATTAAGCACTAAACCACAAAAAAAAACCCTAGACCCAAAAACCCCTAAACCCTAGTTCCTAAAAGACCCTAAAACCCCTAAACCCTAATTCCTAAAAGACCCTAAAACCCCTAAACCCTCATTCCTAAAAGACCCTAAAACCCCTAAACCGTAATTCCAAAAACCGTCAGCTGCTGAACTGCTCGGTTTGGGGTCTACGGGTTCAAGGTTGCAAAAAAGTTTGGAGAACACCTATGCGTCGCCGAAGACCCTGAAAGTGCCCATATTGTTTCTTCTTGGGCTCTAGGGCTTAGGGTATAGGGCTTAGGAGGTTTAGGGTACGTTGTGCTTCTCACTTCACGTATGAGAACTATACAATAGGCAGGAGATCGGGTATAGGATCTTCTTAAAGGCCTAAGTATAAAGTATGTACTTGGGCACATGGACCGGAAAATACCCTAAGGGAAACAGAACCTTGCAGCTTGTATGGGGGTTTACTAACCCAGCAAGTTTCAACTTCAGAAGATCACACATACGCCATTGCACTACGAAGCCCAATGTACTCTGAAGACAAGGCTCTTTACTTGAAGCCTTTGCCCCGCTGAGAGTCCATGTGCCTAGAAAGTATGTACATCGGCCTGAAATCGGTTGATTCCTAACAAACACTTTTGTATTTAGGCCAACGTAAACTTCTAAATGGGGGAGTTAGGGTTCAGCTGCAGCCAAAGATCTCAAGAAGAATGTGCCCCACGGGCCCATGGCCGACGATCACCTCTGCTTTTTTGTCGGGCTTTCCTTGCAAACCTTTTAAAGCTTTATCGGGTTCGGGGATAAGTTAGCTATGCAGGATTTGCTGTGTCACCTGTAGACTAATTCTTGCTTGCTCGAGGGGTCTTGCGGCTTGCAACCAAGGAATTAGGGTTTTGGGTGTGGGGTTCAGGCTATAGGACGTACGGACAACTAGACCCTGGACCCAGAACCACGTGAACAACATATTCATTCAGACGTTCACTGTCATGTTTGTGTGTGTACAAGTCTGCCACCACCGTCGCTTCGCTTTGTTGCTGTAAAGACTTGAAGACCACTGTCATAGGCTCGATCCTACATCAGCGATGATCGCAAAATCCTGGATGTTTTTTGTAGACATTTTAACAATCATAATTTTCGTTCCTGCTCTAGGCGATGCCATAGCGTTTGCAACTTCGAAAACGGCCTGGTGAACCCTAAACCGTGGAGATTAAGTGCTTTTTGTTCTTCTGAGCTACAGGCGATCGACCAATGCCTATGTTGAGTGGATCCAGCAATCAGGGAGACAGAGCTTATGGGACTTATGAGGTGTGCTTAACGTAAAAGTACACCCTTTAACGTCGTTTAGATGTGGCAACAAGTGGCGGACCCCTGGGAATATGCCTTTGGGATTAGATGCGCCAGTTCTTCCAAGTCATTCTCTGGTGTTTGGGTGGCGCAATGTGCGGCCGAGTGTCCACGCGCTTCGGCAAGTTCGTGCCATGCAGAAGGCCGGACATTGCGTCTGAAAGTTCCCGATGAATGTCTACTGGATGCAATGGAATCAACGGCGCCCTCATCCTATTGTTTGCATATGTGTTGCATGCATACGCATACTTATATACATATGTATATATATATATATATACATATACACATACATATCTACATACACATACAGCATGAGGTATGAAACTATGTGAGTATGGTCTTTGGGTGCATATGTACACAAAAACCGCCAATGGCTGTCAAACTCTCGGCCTTCCTAGGCCAGCAATGTGCGGCTTTTTGATATGGGGGTTTAGGGTTTAGGGTTTAGGGTTTAGGGTTTATTTTGGGGTCCTTATAATAAGGATCCTATTATTCAGGGTACTATATTAGGGTCCCCTATTTTCGGAAACTCCCATATGGGTTCGGGCGGCCGGGGTAATCGCTTCGGTTAGAATCTTGGCCTAACGATGAAGCAAGACCTAACAAGAATGGCGCAGGACTTTTGAGTCCGTACCCTACACCCTAAACCCTAAACCCTAAACCGTCTACAACCCACTCCACCAAACCTGAGCCAGATGGCTACCGACACGCGCCAGCCGAGCAAACTGCAATCTTCCCTTCAAGAAGTCCAAAGGCCTGGACTCCGTAAGTCCCGAGGCTGTACACAAACGAAGATCCGCTGAATCTACAACCCACTAAGAATCTAAACCCTACCCAGGGAACCTAAATCATTGCTCTTACGTGTCATTATGTCTATGTATGGGTTTCGGTTTCGGGAACGGACATGTAGATCCACACACGCACACACAGATATATGCACGTATGCATGCACACGTCCTTCCCTGAGTCTTAAGCGAAAGCCCATACCATCAAACACCAAAAACTTCAAACCATAAGCACGGAAATCGTGAGCCCCAACAAATAACGAATCCCAAAACGTGTTGAGATCCCCAAAGAAAATATTGAACCCCGAAAACTACTGACCCCGCAAAACCTGAAGATCTTACACTATAAACTGCACTAACATATTCCACCTTCATCAACTACCAGCCACACCAAGAAACCCAAATGGCTACAGTCAAAGGCAATCCCTAAACCCCCAAAAACCCTCCTATAGGGGCCTAAATAATTAAAAATCTTATTTTGGGGGTTCCTTATTGTAAATCTAGTAGAATGGGCCCCCAAAACCCTGTTCTTATTACGGCCCCTACAGTAAACCCTAAACCGTTCAGGCTTAAGGCTTCGATGTGCTTGGGTGACGGCGAAGTCTTCGGGGGTTTTAGGATACAAATCCCAGCTTTGCGGAAGCTCTAAAGCCTTCAACTGCAATGCGGATCCTGATGTTTAGGGCATCACCTGTAAGTACCCCAATGTTAGGATCCCTGCTAAATTGCCTTTTCAGGTCGGGGGTTCGTTAATCACGTGGCCACATTTTACTCTGAAGACATACAACATTCTCAATGTAGGGGCCTTGATAATTCGAATAGGGTTTTGGGCTCCTGTATAGCATACGTATAATAAGGAACCCCCCAGAATAGTATTAGTAGCTATTCATGCTCCTATCTTAACAGTCTAAAGTGCTCCCAACATGACATAAAAACCGACTACAAGCCCAATGAAGACGACTGCAAGACCAATTTATTGGATGCTAAAGCAACTTTATGACATACTGTAGGGGCCTTAATAATTAGAACAGGGCTTTGGGGCCCATAATACTATAAGTATACAAAGGAGCACCCAAAGTCGTATAATTAGTTAGGCCCCTATAGTATGTGCAAGGTATTGAAACCTCGAACTGCCCTAAACCCAAAACCCAAAGCCCTCACCCCCACAGGCGGCGCGCCTGGGCCATGTCAACTGCTTTCGCAGGCTAGCATCTTGAATCTTTACACATCCATGGGTAGACACGAGTGGGGTTTCGGGTTTAGG